TGGCAGGCCACTGACAGCAAGCTATCCAACAGCGGATTCTGTGAGGAATGGGGCTCCCTCCTTTCTACTGTCAGGGTCTGGTTTGAAAGTCGGCCATGCCCCCTGTTGGGCCAGACCCAGAGTTCTACCACGCCGTGGCCTCCACCTCGGCAACCCAGAACTGACTACTGCTGGGCGCTCCTTGTGCTCTGAGGGTGGGTTCTTCCCTCAGGCCACACGGGAAACAGCTGGGGAGGGCACAGCCCTTGGCAAAACGACCCAGGATTCAGTGAGTCCACACTTCAAGGGTGGATTCCTGCCTCAAATCCTGCCCTCACCGGAAACAGCTCCAGGAAACAGCTCAGGGGAGGGTGCAGCTGTTGCCAAGACAACCCCTGCAGGACTGACTTCCTTCCGCTTGGTTGCACGGTTCAGGTCGTGATGAACACCACCCATGGTTTTTATATAAGTAGAGGATATAGATATAGATGTAGATATAGATATTTAACACAGGATGGCACAAATCAGATCAGTCAGGAGGAGGGAGGACCTGAGACCCTCTTCTGTCCTCAACCTCTTGAAGGATGGTGCCTGCCAGGTTCCAGGGACAAGCCAGAGTGTCATGGAGAGGACAGGACAGTGACCAATTAGCAACCAAATTGGAAGTATTTGTACTATTTTAACAGCCAGCGCAGCTGAGTGTCTGCACTGCCATCAGTCAGTCCATGAGGAGAGCTAGTTGTTCTTTCTCATCTTTTCTCATCTCTGCTTCACCCCCTGGACTAAGATGATTTTATCCCTCACAGATTTCCTAATCACCCTCTCCTCTCCCCACTGCAGAACAAACTGTCTAGAAAGCAAAAATGGTCACTTCCACTGCCCTCATTAAAACTCTTACAGAATGAAGTTCAAGGTCCTTACCCAGTCCTGCCCACGTTTGTGATTTGGCCCCTGTTGTCTTTTTAGCCTCAATTCCCATCATCCCCTGGGGCACATACTCCCTGAGCAGTTTGCACATTACCACCAGTGCAGTGTGCTCAAGTGAGAGGTGGTTTCATTGTTTCCTCTGTAGGCGTCAGGTAATAGGCTTACCTGTGGCTCTGGGAAGGCCTCACAGGCTAGCGCAGCATCTTGCACAGAGTAGGTGCTTCTGAGCATTGATAGACAGGTCAACCTGGCGGACCTTCTTAGATGTGAGGTTGGGCTTCTTTTGTTTATTTGTTTAGGTAAATACTTTGTATCAACTCCTCAGTCAGTGAGACAGAGGCATGAACAGTGTTAGACACTTCAGACAATGACTATGGCCCCTGATTGAAGGGTAGTTGAATAAATAACTGACAGTCAGATTTCATGTGTATTGAGGGTAGTAGAATTTGTTACTGGTATCTTTGCATCCATGTCTTTAGTTATAATGTAGTGTTAGTAGTTATCCTAATATGTAAAGAATTCTTGTGTACCACTTGTAAAATACCAATGAGATGTTAAACGTAAATGAAGACACTCAAGAGATGTTTGTAGAGCACCGAACAGTATGCTTGGTGAGGAGTTAACAAAATAGAAATGGGCTCTGCCCTCATGAAGCTTATGGTCTCATGAAACCAGATAATAAGTAAATGTGCCTCCATTTCTGCTTCCTACCTGCCATCTGTATCTCTCATTTGGACCACAGCATTGCCTCCACACTGGTCTCCCTACCTTCACATAAGCCCTTGAGCCCTCTCTTCATGGCAACCAGAGAGAGCCTTTAAAAATCTAAATCGGGGTTTGTGTCTATCCTTCTTAAGGCTGTTCATGACTTCACATTGCAATTAGGATAGAATCCTAATTTCTTTCCATGGTCTCCAAGGTCAAGTCTGATAGGGCCTCTGCCTTACCTCCAGTAATGAATCAGGCCACCCTGTCCTGCTCTGCCCCACCCCCACCCCAGCAGCTCCAGCTCCAGCCAGGAGGGCAGCCTTCGGTTCCTTGAACACCCAAGCTCCTTCCCTTCTCAATACCTCTGTGTTGTTCTTCGCTCTGCCCATGCTGGCTACTTCTCATCCTTTAGCTCCACCTAAAGCCAGTCCTTTCCAGCCTCACCACTGTTATTCTTTATCAGAGTCCTGCTAGCACTTAACACAAATTGTCATTTTCTCTCAATTCATTGGGGAGAAAAGTTGTCTGAGATTGTGCTTTCATGTGCAGTTTAGAACAGAGAGGAGAGGACTGGGTCTTGAGATTTGCAGTGTAGTTATCCTTTCTTCTGTTTCCAAACAGATACCTAATTAAATTACTTAAGTGAAATCCCCAAGTCACTTGCAATCAGCTAAGGCATTCCTCCCACCAGTTTTGGTCAGACTGAATATGTCTGCAAAACAGGTTGTGTTCCATTGTGAAGCAAACATTTTGAAAATTAGAATGCATAACAAAAGCAAGGCTGGGGTCAGCCATACAGAGAGTTACGTCTGAATATACTCAGTCTAGAATAGGCCTCTCTAAGGTGAAGAGCAATGAAAGAGTAATGAAAAATTAAATGCTGGAAATTTTGGAGTCTTAAAGGAACAATGTTGGTCTGGGAACAACATATAGTTAGAAACCTAAAGTGTAAGGAAAAAGCAGGCTCTGTGAATCCTCAGGGTGCACGTTAAGAGCCAATGCTACTGGGGGTAACCAGAGCTTGTGGGAGATTGAAGGAGTTGTGAGGGAGAGCAGGGGAGGGTATGCTGAGGGATGGAGAGAGAGAAGATGGAAAGGGAGGGGCAAAGGCACATGGTCAAACGATACAAGGTCCTTCAAGGTCTAATCAAGGACTGGAGGACACGGCGTTCCTTCCTTAGCTGATTGTCGATGGCGCTGGAGACAGAAGTGTCTCCAGCTGTGTGGCTTTCACTTTGCTGTGTGGCTGCAAAGGCAACATGACAGAGTGACGTCTGACCTTATTAGACAGTCCATCTTCGTCTAGAACAGTGGTTCTCAACCTTCCTAATGCTGCGACCCTTTAATACAGTTCCTCATGTTGTGGTGACCCCCAACCCTAAAATTATTTTCGTTGCTACTTCATAACTGTAATTTTGCTACTGTTATGAATCGTAATGTAAATATCTGATATGCAGGATGTATTTTCACTGTTACAAATTGAACATAATTAAAGCATAGTGATTAATCACAAAAACAATATGTAATTATATATGTGTTTTCCGATGGTCTTAGGCGACCCCTGTGAAAGGGTCATTCTACCCCCAAAGGGGTCGCGACCCACAGGTTGAGAACCGCTGGTCTAGAACATTATGGTTTCGTTCCCTGTGATTTCCATTTTTCAAAAGCTCCTGATTTCCTATTCCATTTTTTTCCCAGCAATAATTTATTGGAATTGTAGTTCTGGCCAAGATAGTTTTTTTGTTTGTTTGTTTGTTTTTGGTGGAGAGGGGGGTCTCCTGGGGTGTACACATGTGCAGAGCGATTTAGGGATGAAGGAGCCAACATCCTCCTTATAAATTTCAAAACTTTTCCAGGAGAAACTGACCAGTCCTTTGTGCTGTGGCTTGTTCACTGACTCTGCTGTTTGCCTGCAGCCTGCCATGAGTCCTGTGCCGCCTGCTGGGGTCCCACGGAGAAACACTGCCTGGCCTGCAGGGACCCGCTCCACGTGCTGAGAGAGGGCGCCTGTGAGAGCAGCTGTGGCCCTGGGTTTTACAACAAGCAGGGCACCTGCAGTGGTAGGTGCCAGCCTTTGCATCTTTTCCTCTTTCAGGGGTCCCACGTTTAATTCAAATCATAGCACCAATCGCTAATGTTTCTTTTACTCAATGAATATGCAATATGCTGACATTGCTGGTGTTTTAGTAGTTTGCAAAACGTGTTTTTACTTGGGGGGGGATCCCCTTTAATACCTCCCCTTTCCCTTCAAGGTGTTTAGCTTGTTCTGCAGATAAAGACAGTGAGGACTGGGCTGCTTATTCCAGACCCACAGCTCAAGGGACAGGGGCAGGGCTTCCTTTCTCCAAATCTCAGACTGCCTTCCAAATATGCATGGAGACAAGGACACCTCCAGGCCAGCCAAGGGCAGACCTGCCTTTGTTTTTGGTGCCACTGACTTAAAACTAAAGCAGTTCTTGTTTAGCCTACCTTTAATACCCACTGCACAACAGTAAGCGTTAACCCGGCTTCCTGCGTCCCTGTGCCAGTCACTGTTCCAAGTACCTTATAAACACACACTCACTGAGAAGCAGGAAAGTACGGTGGGGAAAGCGTGACCTTGGGCAAGTTACTTAATCTCTCCATGTGCCCGTTTCCTGGATGGGGATAATACAGCACCCGTGGTAGACAGAAGAGTGGCCCCTCAAAGATGTCCACATCCTAGTCACTGTAACTTGTGGTTATGCCGCCTTCAATGGCAGAAGGGGTTGGGAGGTGTGATTAAGTTAAGGATCTTGAGATGGGAGATTATCCTAGATTACCCGCGTGGGCCAGTGTCATCACAAGGGTCCTTATAGGAGGAAGGCTTGAGGGTGGGAGTCAGAAAAGAAGATCAGAGATGGAAGCAGGGGTCAGAGTGATGCCAGGAAGGGGCCCATGAGCTGGAAGGCAGCCTCCAGAAGCTGGAAAAAGACAGGAAATGACCCCCCTCCCCCCTCAGGACTTCCAGAAGGAATGCAGCTCTGCAAACATCCTGATTTTAGGACTTCTGATCTCTAGAGTGATAATGAATTTGTGTTGTTTTAAACCACTGAGTTGGTGGTAATTTGTTAAGGCAGCAATGGGAAATTAATACACACCCACCTCAGGAGGCTGCTGAGAGGAATGAGTTCATAGCATTGCATTTAGCACAGTGCCCAACACAGAGTAAGTGCTATGTAAGTGTTTGGTGTTTAATCCTCACAACAATTGTATAAGATAGTTATTATCATCATGGTCCTTTTCCTGATGAAAAACTAGCCCAAGATCACATAGCTCATAAGAGATAGAGTTGGTCTCTGGCTCTAGATGTTAACTGCCTCTTCGCTACAGTGTGATCCCCCTTACACGCCTCTTCCTAGATTTCCCCTCTCTTCTTTTTCTATTTTCCTCTCCCCTCTTTCTCTTCTCCTCCTTCCTCCTGCCCTCCTGTCAGTCTTCAGATCATTCCCCTGCCCCTGTAGACATTGCCAAATAGACAGATAGCCACCTGACAGTGAGTGATTACGTTTGCTTTGGGCATACCAATAGAAAGGCCAGTAGCAATGGATGAGTTGATCTTTGGGAGTTGACAAATCCACTTGCCTTAGGGAAGAGAGAGCTCTTAGCCTTCAATCCAGCATTTCTCCACACCAGCCTGCATTTGTTGTCCCACAAACTACAGATGTTTCCATGTTATCCAGCCCAATGTCTGATTCTCAGAAGGTTGTATTAGTTTCTTTTTTCTTTTTTTAAAATATTTTTTTTATTGATTTCGGAGAGGAAGAGAGAGAGAAACATCAATGTATTATCAACTGTATTATACTCTACCATTGCCCTCGGTATCCACCGGGGATTGGTTTCACAACCCATGCAAATACCCAAATCTGCCAATGCTCAAGTCTCATATAAAACTAGAGGCCAGATGCATGAAATTCTTGCAAGAGTAGGCCTTCCTCTCCCTCTCCTCTTCCTCTCCCCCTCCTCTCTCTCTCCCTCTCCCTCTCTTTCCCACACACCCTCTTCACTCTCTCCCTTTTACCAGGTTCACCTATTTGCTTTAAAATGACCCCTGAATTGAAAATTGAAAACAATTCAGGCCTTAGGATTTTCACCTTTATCCTGAGAACAATAGGAAACCATTTGGCAAACTTAATTAAATGAGTGCTCACAGCAGGTTTTCTTTTTAAGTTTATTCTCGTTGCTGCATTGAGAATGGTCTGAGAAGGAATGGACAAGAACGATTTGGACAGAGCAGTCAGGTGGTGATAGGTAAGAGAGATCATGGTGAACTGAAGTGGTGGTAGCAATAAGGTAGAAGGAGTATGGGACAGGTGTGGAAAGTATTTCTAAGGTAGAATTGATAGGTCTCGCTGATGGGTTGAATGATCTTTTACCCTCTCTGCATCCACCCCCTTGGGCATTTAACTTTGAAGTGTCTTCTGCCTCTGTCTCTGGACTTGACCATGTGCCTCGCTTTGGGTAATAGAATGAAGCAGAAGTGCAAGTATGGTGCTTCTAAGTCTAC